GTAAAAATTCGATAGTGTTGCCGTTTACTGTCTATGCTAGGGGGCACTATAGAGTTCACTTTTATTAGATTTCATATTTCATTACATTCAGTCCTGGATCATGCAATTGTGATTTGAATTTGAGCTCTCTAGGACAATGCCTGTGGTCGTGACAGGTCACCGAAGAAGCAGGAAATGAAGGAGTTTTTCGCCGGCGTGCTATGGGCAAACCGTACGGAGTATCTCAAAAACATGGATGATTTTTGTGAGTTTATGTCTGTACATTACATATGACATACCAAATCTGAGCTCATTTGGACCAAACACCAGGGGCTTGAATCTTTTCGCAGACACCCAAAGTCAAAACGGCGGCGAATGTTTGAGCCAATATGGCCGACTTCCTGTTCGTCATAGAGGCATTCTCCAATTCAGCTTTTGGCTTGTCTCATTGTTCTATATCACTGTCTTGAAATTCGTTTCCCTGCGACAAACCTTGCCTGTCTCCACTGTTGACTCGGGTCACACCGGTCATTGTCGCGATGCCCATTTTATCAAATTTTTCAGATATTTGAAGAAAAAGAAGAAGAAGAAGAAGAAAAGCCTTTCAATATTATTTTATTTATTTATTTATTTTTATTTATTTATTTTTAGAAAATAGATACACATAACTCTTCTCTCACTTGATGGTTGGTGGTTCTATTACATCTATTGTGCAGCATTGTATACTGTCATTGTAAATTGTGCAGTTTGACACATCACCTTCTTTGGCTGCATATGGATAGGCTTTTGGGTTATTGATGTCTCTATCAGACATATGGTTTAACCCAGCACTTTTCCCAATATATTTTTATAAATATTTCAAAATATATATTTTTATTGGCATGTTTATACATATACAGTGTGAGTGGCATAAAGTCACCTATAAAAAAAAAAATGTTCTTTTTTCCATGTGGCATCGAAAATTGAGAGTACATATTCTTCTTTATAACCTATGTGATAATTTACAAAAATGTTATCCATTTTGTGACATGTGCAGTACTCCAGGGTCGATTTATGCTTGTTTCCATATCCAGAAATCTTGGTCCTAGGGATTTTAATAATCTGGCGAAGTTTAATGCTTGTACCATAAAAGTGAATGACTACTGTATTTGGCATACAATATTTTAAACTATATTATTGGCCCAAGCCAGTAACGAAGTAACTGGCGAGGGCTATTGTTCTTCCTCAGTTTCTTTTTATTCTTTTTCCCCACACTGAATCGCATTTTTGACCCCCTGAACATGGACGAAAAGTCCCCAAACCGAGTATCAGATCGACCAGTCCGGCGAAAAATCACGACAGTGACCAAATTGACCCGACTCATCAGCGCCGCCTAGAATTGGACCCCTATGGGAGTGAGGACAGGCAAAGTTTGTCACAGGGAAATGTGAACTCACAGAAATGTTCACCTTTTTTTGGAAAACTCCTTACGGTTCGCCCGTAGCACGCCGGCGAAAAACGCCTTCATTTCCTGTTTCTTTGGTGACCTGTCACGGCCACAGGCATTGGCCTAGAGAGCTCAAATTCAAATCCAGGCCTGAATGTAATGAAATATGAAATCTAATAAAAGTGATCCCTATAGCGCCCCTAGCATAGACATGAAACGTCAACATTATCGGATATGTACCAAATTCGGGGCATAAATTCTATGTATGATTACAAGCAAAAAAGTTTATTACGGACATGATGCATTTTCCACCATTGGCCAGCAGGGGCGCAAGGACTCCAACAAAAAATAGTTAAAAAATTATTACACACACAGGCTTTGTCCGATCGTGCTGAAATTTGAATCACTAATGCCTGATCACGGCCTGAATATAATACACTATAAAGTATATGAAAAGTGAACTCTATAGCGCCCCCTAGGATAGACATGAAACGTCAACATTATCGGATTTGTACCAAATTCGGGGATTAAACTCTATGCATGATAACAAGTCAGAAAGTCTATTACGGACGGATTCTATGCATGATTATGAGCAAAAAATAAATAACAGACATCATGCATTTTCCACTGTTGGCCAGCAGGGGCGCAATGACTCCTAAAAATATTTAAAGGTGTACAGTCCCTGACAAAAGTCTTATCGCTTATCCATTTTGTAGAAACAAAAGCTTATAACCTGACTTTAAATTAATCGATTGGTTTTAGAAATGTCTCATATGAAAGTTAAAACCCTCCCAAATTATGTTCAATGTACTAAAATAAATTTGCTTCACTGAAGAAAGATTGATCATTTAATGAACACAGAAAGGTCAGATTTTGGCAAGACAAAAGTTTTGTCGCCTACAGAAAATTGAACAAATAATTTACTTAAAATACAAAAATATGTTGCATAACGTCAGTGAATTAAGTAGTGGTGCTGTGAGATCCATATTTAATATCTTGTATGACTTCCAAGAGCTTGAAGGACTGCATCCATACGGTTCGACAATGATTCATACAATTTGTTGATGAAGTCATCAGGAATAGCAAAGAAAGCAGTCTTACATGCCTCCCAGAGTTCATCAAGATTCTTTGGTTTTGCCTTCCATGCTTCCTCTTTCATTCTACCCCAGACATGCTCAATGATGTTCATGTCTGGTGACTGGGCTGGCCAGTCCTGGAGCACCTTGATCTTCTTCGCCTTGAGAAACTTTGATGCAGAGATAGAAGTATGCGATGGAGCACCATCCTGCTGCAAAATTTGGCCCCTTTTATGGTTGGGAATGTAAGAGGTAGCTAGTATGTATTGATATTTTAGGCTATTGATATTGCCTTCCACCCTGCAAATGTCTCACACACCCCCATACTGGATGGAACCCCAAACCAGGATTTTTCTGCCCCCAAACGTAACTGTTTTCTGGGTGAATCTTGGATCCATGCGGGCTCCAGTAGGTCTCCTGCAATATTTGCGGCGGCTGTGATGTAATTCGACCGAGGATTCATCTGAGAAATCCACCTTCTGCCACTTTTCCAGTGTCCATCCTTTTAGCAGGCTGTGGGCCTTGGCAAATGCCACACGTTTTTTGAATTGCCTTTTGTTTAGTGCTGGTTTCTGTGCACTGATTCGACCATGGAGGCCATTTCGAGACAGAATTCTACAAAGTGTTCTGGTTGACACAGGGACTTGAGGTGACCAGGCCTGGTGGAGCTCTGCTGCAGTGGAAAAGGGGCTGGCCTTGGATTTTCGAATCAACAAACGGTCCTCCCGAGCAGTTGTCTTGTGGGGTCTGCTGGACCTCGGCTTGCATCTCCAGTCATTTCAGATCTTTTTCTTATTCTTTGTACTTGACACATTGAAGGTGTCAGCCACCTCAGCAGTGGATCTGGTCTTCAGCCTCTTGACAATTAACGCTTTGGTCTCAGGGTGGCTATTAGGCATATTGTCAGAGGTCAAGTTGCAGTTGATGTGAAGGTCTGTGTGGGTCTGGGGTTCTTTTTATACACACCCACTAATTTATTGATCAGTAACTGATCACAGGTGAGGCTGTAATCTAGGATTGGGTGCATCATATGACAAGGAGACAAGACTTTTGTCTTGCCAAAATCTGACCTTTCTGTGTTCATTAAATGATCAATCTTTCTTCAGTGAAGCAAATTTATTTTAGTACATTGAACATAATTTGGGAGGGTTTTAACTTTCATATGAGACATTTCTAAAACCAATCGATTAATTTAAAGTCAGGTTATAAGCTTTTGTTTCTACAAAATGGATAAGCGACAAGACTTTTATCAGGGACTGTATTATGTAATGTGTCTAATGGATGAGCTGTCATCCTGGGCGGTGTCGGGAGGAGAGAGTGGCTTGTCGGGGCGGTCGCAAGTCCCCGGCGGTCGCGTGAGAGGGGAGTGCACGCCGGGGCGAGGGCCATCATCGCCGCGCGCAGCTTTAATTATTATTTATGCTGCTGTTGAGCTGGACCTGAGTGCAGTGTTTCGTTTCTGTGTATTTTTAACTGAAATGACAAATAAATTCTGATTCTGAACAATTGGACACTTTTTTGGTCTTAGCTGTCCCAGTCTTTAACAGTTTGTCTCAAGGAAAGGAGATTTATATGAGAACAAATCCTGTATTTGTAGTAGGCCTACATAACATTACCACAGTCAGTTATGAACATGCTCTATCTCGGCTCTACAACTTGTTTGTCTGTAACAGGGAGGAGCAGGAGCGCCCAGCAACAGCAACGCCCCTTAGACATAAAGGCATTACCATCTTCCCCCACCTAACTTCAATTTTTTCACCTAAGTTATCCAAGGGTAGAGCAAACACCGTGGTAAGAGAAGACTTCTACAATGGAAACGGGTCAAATGCGCGGCGTCGTCCCGTCCTATCTCGGATGGTCTATTTTCAACACCTTATGTTGCTGTTTGCCGCTGGGGATTGCAGCAATCGTTTGCTCTTGCAGGGTAAGATGGACCACTTTAACAAACTACAGTTGTAATGTAGATCGTCACCAACTATTGTGTTAATGACTTATTTATTTTATTTTTCTTATTTATTAATTTAATTTAATTTATTTATTTTTTTCTTGGTCACACTGAACACTAAGTAAATGCATGTGAATCCTGTTTGTAGGCACAGAATGCAAATGCTGTGGGTGACCAAATTAACGCTGAAGACGCATCCAGGACAGCAAAAATCCTGAACGTGGTTGGCCTTGTGTGTGGAATTATCCTTCTGATCATCTTCATCACACTTAAAGTTCTCGGCCAGGGAAACTATTGAGTGTCTTTTTTTGTTTTTTGTTTGTTTTTTTCTTTTAAATGCATTCACATCCATTTTAAAGACTATGTCTAATCCTATACCTTTAGGCACTTATATTCAATTGTATTACCAGTATTATTTTTGTATAAAATAACAAGTAATTTTTTTTACACTTATGACTGATATTTTTATGAACTAATTGTCATAAAAATAACAAGTTATTTTTTTACACTTATGACTGATATTTTTATGAACTAATTGTCATATAATGGTTTGTTAAATAAATAAGAAAGAAAATGGACATGTTTGCTTCATTTTATTGGTAAATAAGCATAAATGGACAAAATGAGACCAATTTCTATGATTTGCAAGTGTGAAAAGTGGAAAAAAATTTACTCTGTAGTAGGCAGCCTTCGGTGTTTTAACTGTTCTTCAAGTTGTGTGAAGACTGAGGTGTCATAGTGTTTCCTTTGCAATCTGGTAACTTCCTGTGATAGGCCAATAAAAACCAAAACAAATGGCAACTAAATCATGTGTCAAATCAATCAACATGGGACAAATATAGACACACAAAAAGGCATTCATGACTTACATCTTGTGATATCAAGCTTCTGCATGGATTGTGCTGTAAAGAGTCAGCATGAGATTCCCACAGTATTCCATTGAAATCCCCTGAATGGGCCCCTTTGTGCAACCGTAAGGGGTGCGCACTTAGATGGGCCTGAAACAGCTCCCCAAGGGCTGCTTGAAGGACCTGCACAGGAGGACAGCAGAGCTGTTACACTTAGTAAAGATGGAGTTCACTTGTGCTGCACTGTACCTTGAAGAAAAGTCTCTGGAAGGCTGGACTGGAATCTGAGGTCATGTCCTTCAGTCTGATGTGGCAGAGACTGTGGAGGAGCAGCAGTGAAAAACCCCCAACTGACTGTAACCTCTGCCGACGAACAAACAGTATCTTCTCCGCTTCCTGCCATAGTGCATGTTCACAAAGTGAGGTTTGAAACAGTAAAATAGGTCTGCATACATTTTGGCTGACAGCAGCTCAGATAACAGAGCATTCACCCACAGTTTGATTACCATTCCTGACATTTTGTCATTGTATCTGTGTAGATGACTGTTTCCTTGATGTGAAGGGTTTTGAGTGTGCAGTGGGGATAGAAAAGCACAATATAAATGAGGCCCTTCACTTTTACATGTTCCCTGAAAACTTACTTATGCTTTGTATTAACACCGAGTAGTGTTAAACGACATATACACATGGCATATAGAGGGGGAAGGGGTGAATGAGTTAACATCTGTGTACCACCTGAAGAAAATTTACATAACTAATCTGATGGTGTTGGTCAAAAACAGCATGCTGTACACAGATAGTTGTTTTCAAACTTGCAATATAGCTGGTTTTAACTACGTCAGTTGTCACTTACTAGTGTTTTTAGACAAAATACCTGGTAAAAGAAAGAGTTTCTGAAAGCATTGTTGATGTAGTTGTTGGCAGGAAGACTGCTTGTTATTTGCAGGGTAACCACAGGTGTCTGTGAAAACCACAAGCTGTTTTAATATAAGATGAAAACTTTCAATAAAGCCCAACTGAAAAAAAATACACTTCATTGTTACAATGACAGATAATACAACATAAGAAAATCTTTTGGGATATCTACCATTAGAAACCATGTAGAGCAAGTTACCATAACATGTATGATAACATGTATTTGAGTAATCATATGCAATCCTTTATGCAAAGTAAGATACATTTTAAATAAAAAAAAAAAAATGGAACTAACCAGTTGTAGATTGTTCAAGGTTTGCATGAGAAAGAGTCCATGCTGATAAACTAAATATTCTCTAGGGTTAAGGTTTGAAGTACACAAAGGGATCAGCTCTCCTTCACATTCCCACTGGGCATCTAGGACGTCCACAAAGCCCTTTTCCCTTTTACCCTTTTCTGTACAACAAAATCAAATACATAATTAAAATTAAGCTTTTGTCTGTTTTTCATAAGTGTATTATTGCACAATGAGACTGGACAATGAAAGCCATTTATCTAAACTCAGGGAAACGTCTACCATCTGGACTTTGTTGAAGCTCTCTGAAGTTAAAAAAGATTCAAGAGCAAGTGAAAACAAATACCTAAAGCTTAAGTTGTGAGTTTTGGTATTATCTGCAAGAGGTGTTTTTGTGAAATGTCTAACTTTGGAGCCTCCTATGCTGCATGTTTGACAAAAGAACTCTTTCAGTTTATGTTAGTGGTTGTAACAGAGATCTTTGGTATGCTAGTGATTAAACATAATTAGACAACAATGTCCAACCCACCGTGTTGGTCTCCTCTTACTAGGCTGGCCCAGGTCTTAATTTGGAGCTCTACCCCCTTCAGCATTTGAAAGAGGGGGGATTGCTCCAACAGTCTGCCCCACTCCTCCTCTGGGTCACAGAGAAAAGGAAAAATACAGAAAAGTCAACACATGTCCTGCCTACAGGATGTGTGGACTAAACTAGTTTCAAAACGGACCTGAGATCTTTTTGACTTGTTCTTTCAAGATTTGGCTCTCTATAAAAAAAGAAATTGAAATAAATAAATATATGATTATATTATGTGTGGGTCTTGTACGATGTGTTTGTTTGTTTTTTATTTAGATCCCCATTAGCTACTGAAGAACAGCAACTATTCTTCCTGGGGTCAGTAACATTCTATAAATGCCTTTTTCTGCAGGAAAACAGGATGTACATGCACCACATTTGTACAAACAATGAATGTGTCTTGCCCAAGGACACAATGATATAAAAAATATGTCAATCAGATTAAATGTCATTCGAGTTACATCCTGTGTTTCTGCTGAGTGACTGTCTTAACATTACCTTGTGACTGAAGCCTTGAAGATAAAGTGTGTCTCTGTGAGGGGTGGGTGGGGCCAGAACTCATCTCCAAACCGGTGTCTTGTGATTGAGTTTTGCCAGGTTCTCTCAGAGACTGAGTAGAATTGGCTGTTCAAACACATTGTCATTTATAGTTATTTGTCCACTGGAGGAAAATACTGTTCAATGTATCTCAACAGTTGTCCTGTTTTTAACTATAGATGTGTTATGTGTGAACATGCACACTAACCTAGTGTATATTTATAGGTATGTTATCACAAGGTTGGTATTTGGACATACCTTGCACTACAGCAGGCACTGACTCTGTCCAAACTCTTGACGCCACCTCCATACCATAGCCCTGTTTTGTTTGCAAATCTGATAATTAAAAAAATAATTCATTTCTTCTATTGTCAGTGCTCTTCCAAACAAATACATCTTTTATATAGACAGTGGAAATAGCTGATGGACCATACCAGACAGTTTGTGATTGTAAGGGTTAAGAGATAAGCCAGAGTAATGTTTATCTTGCAGAAGCTGGTTGAGCCTCTCCAGCAAAGGCAGAGCTTTCTCCCGGAGTAGAGCCATGACATTTACTGCTTCTATGTGTCCACCAAACTCAATCAAGCCATACTGTTTGTACCAAAAATGTCCAGTTAGCACGGCCTAGAAACAAGAATTATTTCAATATTACTGTAGAAAATAAGGGAGAAACTATCAAATGTATCAAAAGCTAATATAATGTTTTAACAAAGCCCTCTTACAGTGTGTCTTATGCTGTTGTTTGGACTGACTAATGATTATGGCGGTGCAAACCTGAGCGGTGTCGGCACTAAGTTGAGATAGGAGCCTGGCAACATGCAGCGCATTAACAGCAGTATCCAGCTCAGCTTGCTTGGCACAGCATTGCTCCTGCACCTCTCGCAGTCTCAGCTGTCTGTCCTGCCAGAAAGAATACACATGTAGACATTTAGTTTTACACAGCATGTGTCAACTCTGCTCTGAGATAACATAGTGAGCTGATAGAATAATGAAGGAAAATAGTTCCTGTACCAATGAAGTCTGAGACATTGTCCATTCATTTTCATGTGCTGTGTATCTTTCATGCTCTTTTTGTAGTTGAGCCATACACACATCCAGCTTTTCAAGGCCACATAAAAGTTCAGACTGCCAAGCACAATGCTGATGCCACTCCTCCTCATCACCTGTGCACACAAAACTGCAATTATTTACTAAACAACAACAGAAAAATGCTCCAAAAAAATCATGAGAGAGCAGGTAGGTTAAAACCTGTTTTGTTTAGAGCTTCTCACCCAATGTCAGGATGTGTAGTACATGTGCAGGCAAGATTAGAGCCAACTGGCCGCACACTGCTGTTCTCCTTTGGATTTCAGCCTGTGATGACTCCTGTATCTCCAGAGCAGCCTCTCTCAAAGGTCTCACTGACCACTGCACACAGAACATAGACATACTGTTACTATAGAGACTAAATAAAGGAGGCTTTTCATTGACATGTAAAGCCACTCCTATTTAGCCCTAAACTCCAAACTTGAGCAACAAGTTGATACCTGTCATCTTTTATCTCCAAAGTGGTTCATGTTGTTTTTCCTTGATGATATACTTTTTGTATACCTCCACTGCACACATGCCCTGTATTCTGTTCAAATCCCTTCAATAATTTTTCTCATGTTTTCTTAATGTTTCTCATTGAAGCATTAATAGCACAAGTCTGTGAAACAAAAGTCACTCTGCTTTGATATGTATGTATTTTTCTATAAATATGGACACAACTAACGCACTAGCTGCTGCATTCCAAATAGGAAGTTGGACATGCTGGCTCTTCCGGCTCCTTCTGACCCTGGCTGCCGTTGACTTACATTGGAATACTGTCTCCCTTCTGTAACTGCTGCTGTGAACCTCATCATTTTGGTCTTAAAATGTCTGTATTAACTCGCTCTAATGGTCTTGGTGTTTTTTTGTTTTTTGCTGTTTTGGCCATCAAAAAATCCTATTAATAATATGGACCCTGCCTCCAAATTCTCTCCTATAACCATTTGCATTGTGAGCTTCATTTGAGTGGCACACTTGTCATGGGTGACAGCACACTTGCTTATTCCACTTCTTTATACAGTCTATGATAAATACGTCCAGATGCTCTAGGGCAGGGGTGCTCACACTTTTTCAGCGTGCGGGCTACTTACAAAATGACCAAGTCATAAAGATCTACCTAATACAAAGCCAAGCAAACTGCACTGAAACACTCTGTGCCCCTTTTTTGGACCCTCACCCACAGTTTGAGCAGCCCTTCTTTAAGAGAACTTCCTCTGGCACTTTACACAAAACTGTGGAAAAAGTGAAGGAAGTAGGTAAGATTTTTTAAAGTTCCAAACTGGAGTTGCATTCTTTTCTGGTTTTGCAGTGATATTTACCAGCCTCTGCACGTTTACCAAACCAAACGCACATCGTGGCAAACACAGATGCATTTGTGCACTTGTGTTAGGTAAACTTCAGCCAAATGTGGCAGTAGGTCTGTTCTGTAGGTCTGCTCTATGCTGTAGGCCTGCTTTGTGCTAACACTGTAACACAAATTTAGACTGGTTTTTGCTTCATGTTTCATCTTGCTCTTCTAATCAGCCGCACTGTGGAAGGGGCTTGTGTTCGCTGTACGCAGGAAGGAGCGAGAGCGTGGAAAGGCGAGGGGGCGGCGTGCTGACGTGAGGCAGATGGACAAGTAGGATGTTTAGGAAGTTTAACCTGCCCTGTGATGCACGCTGGTACACGAGGGCACACGCTGTTGCAGACGAGCCGTGCATAGGGAACGTGTGTATGTACGTGTGATGTGCCGTAGAGTCTCCGCGGGCTGCACTGAGCGCACAGGCTGCACTGAGACGCCCCACATGCTCCTGCACCCCGCTACAAGTTTATTACCAACATGTGATCATAATGAAATATGATCGCACTTGTTGAGTGTCAGACCTTGAGTGAGAGACAAGACCGAGTCCAAACGCGAGTCCGAGACGAGACACGGCGATCTACCCACACAACCTTGGCGATCGACTGGAATAAGCACCCCTGCTCTAGGGGGAGATGGAGAGAGGAGACTTATCTGCTGTAACAAGAATAAATCTTTGTAGGCTTTGCTAATTGATAAATTATTTATCATCAAGAGATACATATTTTTGTTTCCACAACACATAATAAAATTGGTTAAAATCAGTAAGCTAAAATTTAAAGTATTTATTTGAAGGGAAAAAATTTATTAATGTGTGCAATTACTCACTTTTGGGTGTAATATACTGTAGGTCCTCTTATATTGTGAAGCAACAATAATATTGTGTCCTGCAAGCTTTATGCTGTGTGCCACACCACTGACCTGATAAGACTGTGTATCAGAGACTGTGAAGACAAACTGGAAAAGTGATGAGTCCAGATCAGAAAGAATGTCCTCCTCCTTGAGCCTCTGCTGTTGCCAGTATGTGTTCCGAGCACATAACTCTTTCTGCAGCCCCTCCATCTACAACAGTGCAAGACTGAAGACATCACTTTCCAGGTTATACTGTGAGTGTAAACATACATTTAATTGTTTACTTGAATGCTGTCAGTTTGCTCAGTCATAGTAAGCCAATAGGAGGCAGTTAGAGGGACCACAGTCTTGTTGGACATATCCAGTCTGGCTCCGACTACTGGCGCCACAATCCCTGTGACGGGATCCACAGTCTGACTGCCATAACGAATTGCTTCAACACCTGTCGACACAGACTGTTGTGTCTTCTCTATATTTTGGATGAACAATTGCACCATGTTACATAATCTGAACATTAACGTGAATCTTGTTTACCCTTTCCATCTGCGTCTTGCATAGTTCCCGCCAGTGGAAGTCTAATCCCAGAGACAGGATTGGATTGACATCCCAGAACAGGCACACTGAGGCCTGAACCACCTGGGTCTGGATACTCCATTCCCACAAGAGCAGGAAGACACACATTTGAACCAGTGAGAGGCATCTCTCCTGTAAAGAAGAGCAAAAGTTAAAAGTCTTAAACTGTGGTTAAATATACAAAATAACTAGACTGCTTCTGTCTGAGAGATAAGGGTGCATTTTGGGGGGTGATCTTAGAAATAAAAGGTCAGGTAGAAAGTGGGAACATATCTTTCTTCTTAATCAAATGAAACCTTTCTCATGACCTCTTAGCATCACAAACTATATAAGTCACTTGTGCATTTTACTTCGCCCAGTACTGCGTTAAACACCTCAGGGCAACATTGTCCCGTTTAGATAAAAAGGGCAGAAACTTTGCCAAAGACTGATTTATTTTAACAAATTATATGCCCTTTCCCTAAAATTAGACCTTTCATATTTTTCCTCACAAATCCAATAAGAAACTAAACAGATAAGAAAAAGAGAAACAACTCTCAGACAAATTTTATGAATAGATTTATGTCGGGCTAGGGAGATTCAGGTGGAGTTTAAAGTGATAATATAAACTGAGAAAATAATAGACTTTTCCCTTTTAGGATAATGCTTGCGTAAAGGCCCAGCACAGAATACAGATGACTGTTGGAAGCTCATTTATACAGCTACATATATATATATATATATATATATATATATATATATATATATATATATATATATATATATATATTAGGGGTGTCACATTATCGCGTTAATTGCGATTAATTAATTACAGTCATATTTAGCACGTTATATTTTTTAATCGCGTTAATCTCATTTTTAATCTCTAACTTTACTGTTTCTGTATGCGTGTTGCTTTATTATAAAATCTGTTTTTATGTGTTGTTGGGACAACAACACACACACAAAAAAAACACATTTATAATTTTTTTTATTTCGGTAATTCCACTCATTGCCGGAAACCCACACAAAACGTGCGCAGTAAGAGCGATGTAAACGTCATGTTCACGTTGGCGGCGTCAGTCGCACAATGGACGAGGTCGAAGAGCCAGTAGAACAGAGTCAGCAGTGCACAGGTAAAAACACATTCATGTCTTGGAAATTATTCTCCCGACGTGAAATATAAAAGAAAATAACAAATATAAAATCGCCTACAACTTAAATGTCACTGGTGAAAACAACCTGCATAGGCTCATGATGTCTGCACTACTGTCCTATAGTGACCTGCCACATGAGGGGACACGCACACACAAACACACACACACAAACACACACAAACACAAACAAACACACACCTTCATCATCGTCATTAACCTGAGAACGCGCAAACCACGTTTCTTTCCGTAGTTACTGCGCGGACACCGACGTGCTCTCGTGCGCCGCGCACGTTTTTGCGCTTCCTCCTGTGCGCCTCTAAACCAGAACTAACACCAAGACTAAAACCGGGACTAACCCAGTCCAGGACTAAACCAGGACTAAACCAGGTCTAAACCAGGACTAAACCAGGACTAAAACCAGGACTAAAACCAGAACTAAAACCAGGTCGAAACCAGGTCTAAACCAGGACTAAACCAGGACTAAACCAGAACTAACACCAGGACTAAAACCAGGACTAACCCATTCCAGGACTAAACTAGGACTAAAGTAGGACTAAAGCAGGTTTAAACCAGGACTAAAACAAGGACTAAAACCAGTGATTTCATATATAAAGCATTTCTCTATCAATAATATTTTTAATATGGTTAAGGAAAGACTGGACTTTTTATTGTCTTTAAGTAGACAAAAGTTATTATGTTCAGATTTTCTAGCCTTTGCTACTTTACAGCAAACAGTTTCTTATTCATGGAGACTTGGGCTCAACAACCAATCTGGAGAGATTTGTTAAACAATAAATGACTTTATAAAGTCACTTTTTTTTGTTCTATATCAGTCTTTTGATCTGCCACAATAATGTAATAATGAATTTAAATGAAAATACCTCAAATTGAAGGCTTTTCTCAGCATTTTTTAGGTGAGATTAAAAAGAGATTAATTAGATTAATTAATTACAGATCATAATTAATTAATCTCTACATTTTTTTAATCGCATGACAGCACTAATATATATATATATGTATATATATATATGTGTGTGTATATATATATATATATATATATATATATATATATATATATATATATATATATATATATAGTGTACACTGGGAATGGGTAAATGTAGTCTATAATCTATTAGTTTCATAAAAGCCAAGTAAATGTAAAAGATAGCACAATTTCCTCCATCTGTATGTTCTCTCACCACAAGCCCCTCCATCACGCTCAAGACCTTCGGACCAGTCCAGCAACATCTCCAGTCGAGTTTGGAGTTGGAGGTGGCAGTGCAGGCTCCTTGACCACACCTGCTGCAGCTCCTTAGCTACAGAAGGAACAGTTTCCAGTCGACCACTCCTCCTATCGCTTCTGCTACAGGGCTGCATGTGTAGAGTGGCTGGGCATGATGCCCATTCATCAGTAAGCTGCTTAAGTAACTCTACTACTTTGGACATTTCTGCCAGAACCTAAACAAAATGAATTATACTGATATTTGTCTTGGGAAAAGCATAGACATGAAATTACATGAAATGTATTATTCTCATTATTTTTTTTGACAGTTTGTGATATTGACTTTGTTTATGTTCAGATATTTCTGTATACAAAACTTTTCTCACAGTTTTAAAAAGGAAATTGGTTGTTTAGTTCAGCACCTTACAGTCTATAAAGGTTTGGTATCCTCCCCCATGAGGGACCAGTTGTCCTGCCCTTATGGTTGCACCTCCCACTCTGAGCATCCTCCCACTGAGAGGCTCCATGAAGAAATCATAGAGCAAGACACCACCTACTGGCAGCACTGCACCTACATACACAAGAACATTATGCAAGAGCGTGGACAAATACTTTTATTGTGTAATTTTCTTAACAAACCTGTTACTGAATCCAGACTCACTCCAACAGTTAGCACCAAGTTTCCTGTACGGGACTCCAGCATTGGACAGCCAATCTGTATAGGCTGTTGTTGCCGAGTGACAGGGCACATGTAGAGCCCACCTAAGGGGTACACTAGACCAGTGTCTGGGTGAATGGTCACCCCGAGAATGGGCACTGGGACCCCTGTGTCAGGGTCTGCCATAGGGACCCCCAGCTGTAGCCTCTGGCCGGGTCGGAGCACTCTGAGGCGGATTCTGGACAGAGGCTGTCCTGAGTGGTGGTAAGTGGGGTATGGGACAAAGGGCAGGAGAGGCCTGTCCCACTTCACACTGTCTCCTAAGAAGAATACAGGAAAACTCTCCATCATGTTGAATGAGGTGAATATAAATATTTGTAACAATTCTGGTTTACTGACAATAGATTTGATATCCATCATGGAGTTACCTGCACATGAGTCTACTGTGTAAACTAAAGTGGAACTGGCAGGGTCATAGGCCACATTGCCTGCTATGGGCATCACTCTGCCAGTCTGTGGGTGCACAAAGTAATTAGGTGGCACAGGCATAATGTGACCACTACTCAGCAGCATATGGTTGTGAGCATTTGGCCTTATGAGCCCTGTCACTGAATCAAAACACAGGGCTTGACTAATAAGCAGGGAGCCATCAGAACCTGAAAAAGAACCAAAAAATATTTAGATTTTTAATTCAGCATTTTAAAAGATGTTTTGGCCCATATACTTTATGGGACAGAGCAGCATGCATTAAAGGGGAAAGCCAGTGGAAAAACACATTCTGTCATTTGTCATGAATCAGTCACTCGACAAAGAAGCATGCAATAAGCCCTGAAAGTGCGCCACAATCTACAGAGATAGCTTAAGAAATTATTATAATATTCATATATTTATTTCTTGTGCTAATGAAATAATTGTTATTCTCTTGTTTGTTTTGTTACATTGTTACATTCAGATGCTTTACAACAAGGAGGGAAGGATTTTTTCTGTAATACTCACTGTTACCAGCAGATGGTGTTATTCATAAACGTTCAAGTAGTTGATTACCATATTTAAAATTACCAAACATATCTTCCTTGGTGAAAACATTTCCAGTTTCGGGACAAAGCAGTTTTGCCCCGGTGCCTTCACCTAGAATCCCCCATGCTCCCTGACGCTGGCATTCTGCTGAAAGCAGGTCTCCCATTCCTTCTATTACAGAGCTCAACCTATGGATCAAACTTAGAACAGAGAATATCAATTTTCAATTGTGTATATTATTTAGACTAGTATATCTTCTTTAAAATGTTTACGTTTGTTCACAGATTGTCTGGTGATCACTGTAGAGTTTTGAGAGTAGTCTGGTGCTCTCTCTGAGATGAGAAGTAAATGTAGTTTGAACCCTCAACTGTGCCTGCTGCTCTCTCCTTAAAACCTGGTGTAAAAAAAAAAACAGCAATTATTGATTTTTATTTAGAATTATGTTGCATTTACTCACTTGTTGAGTTGACAATCTTATTACATAATATTACTCACTTGTTGAGTTGACAATGTTATAACATAATATTGTGACTTAGTTGTAAACCTGCAATTGGTTGTTGAGGACTGTCCTCAGCTGGGAGCCAATACACTTTCGGCGTCCTACCTCCCTCTCTACTTCCCTCATTATTTTTGCATAGTTATCACCGATTCTGTCCTCTTTGATCAAGCAGGGCTGGAGCAGCTGCAGTTTCATGGTGACCCCTTGGTACAACTCCTTTACCTAGACAGGCAAAAAGTAATAGAATTAATAATAAAATTGTATGCGTGCTTCAACCCTGTAAGTCTGATCTTCACTAGCACTGGTGATTCAGGCACCTTTACAGACTTAATATTTGGCTTCTCCCATTACATCTTTATCACTTGTTTTGTCCTGGGGGAAGTAACTAGAACCCTTTGTGTCCAACTGTGTCCAATCATCAGATTTATCAGACAAACAGGAAGAACGTAACAGAACCCAACATTCCAATTGGATACCCAATCTGTTTCAATGGGTCTCATATTTAGGATTCTTGAAAAACATCACAAGAAGAAAAAAAGAAAGACAGAGGGAGGATTAGGTGGAACAAAGGTTTAAGGCTGTGTATCAGTGGGTTGTACCAGTTTTCAACTGCTTTTAGTTGGCAAAACAGGTGTACAAATAGCCATTTCTATTTAAAAATTTAAATATTGAAAATCAGTAAGATCTGTTAAGTAAGCAGACCTCAGTGGTGAGCTGTCCCAGCTGAGTGGTGACAGAGAGGCTCTGTTTGAGCAGGAGGCTGTAGAAAGTGGTGCTGCTAAATGCCTCCAGGTCTACTTGGTGTTCATAATCCCAGAACTCCTCCAAGGTCTCAGGCTCTTATAAAAGAAAAGAAATTAATTTTATTTATTTATTTATATATATATATATATATATATATATATATATATATATATATATATATATATATATATATATATATATATATATATATATATATATATATATATATATATGTATGTGTGTGTGTGTGTGTGTGTGTGTATATATATATGTATGTATATATATAAACCAGGGGGTGTATGGTATTTGCAGGCAACACTGCAGGCAGCATTTTCACTATTAAATAAACAAGTGCCTATGAGTGAGGTGTGTTATAATAATAATCATAATTATCCTATATTGAATGTGTGTGGTTAGTAAATCTACCTGGTGGGGTGGAGTCCACTGTCATCCTTGCTTGTTGGTTTCTATGTGTTTTTCTTAATGAGATCACCCTGGAGCCCTTTGATGCATAGTCATCCATATTGTAGGCTAAATGTAGAAAGTGAAAATGCACTTTTATTGGCTTTTTCTCAGGCCATCCATATTCACGGAAAAGGATCTAAACAAAACACAACATGAAATCATTTTGTCTGTATAGACAGAAGCTACGATCAAACATAGTATGGTATGGTGTAGTATATTGGTATGTGTGATCCCAAACAAAAACTTCATATTATTGTTTGTTTGACACTAACCAATAGGGTAACGCATAAACCCAGGATCATGACAGCACCAAACACCAGTCCCCCAGTCACAAACCAGTCTGGCCTCAACAACAGTCCACGTCGACGGTTAATTCCCACTCGGTTTAAATGTCGAGAAATAGTTGAAAAGAATGGCCCAGGTTCATAACACTGACCATCCGCAGGCATCACACGCACATACTACAATGAAAAAAAATGTAAATACTTCCCTACTTAGAGTGACTGAATACTTTATATGTCTTAAAACTTACCATGTGCCTATGTTCATGGCTGCTCAATTTAAATACATATACACCAGGCTGGTTAAAGATGAATGAAAAGAGGCTGGGAGGGGTCCAAGACAAAGTGAGCTCTTCTTTTAGTTGTCTGAATGCACCCCAGTCAAAAACTGGATTTGTGTTGTACAAGTTATCACTAAAATGCAGTTTATAATGATGGGGTTAGTGCCAAACAGGATACAGTACTTAACTTATATATACTTACACATCATACTCAGGATAGTGATTTGTAGAGACTGTGAATAAGATTACATCTCCAAGATGGAGACATGTAGTGGGGCTTAAAATTCCTTTAGGCCTCCTATCTATTTCTTTAAATTGACTCCAGTTCCCCCAGCTGCTGGTAAAATTAATTGCACTATCACCATGACTATTATTTCCCATTTGAGAGGCTTCCCACAGAACACTTTCTAAGAGGAACATCACAGGAGACATCATAAATTTATGTTCATGTGAATTATGCATCTAAAGCATTGCATTGTGACAAACCCAGGAAGTGCTCAGTCTCTTGTTGTGTAGTTATTGGAAAGAGATGATCCAGTTCTTCTGGGAGGCCAGTAAGGAGGCCAAAGAAGCCTTCCTCTGTAATCAGAACATAAGCCACAAATGATAAAAACAGAGCTAGACAGTGAAAGGAAATGGAAAGAAAACAACCCAGCGCATGTTAGTTAAATTGTGCGGACCAGTTGTCTGAACAATGTAGACTGGATGTGAGATGTTGAACTGCCGGCCACACTGAAGAGTCTCCAGGGAATCCCAATGTAAGAATAGTGTCTGCAGTACTCTGCCTGAGATGGACGACACCTGGACACAATGAGACAGTTTACCTTTAATAGGTCACAGCAACAGTCGAGATGCGTGTGCTCAGCCCCCACTGTAGGTGCAATGAAGGTCGTATTGTCAAGCTTTTGTTTAAGGTAAGAAGGTGGCTTAAGCTGTACACAATGCCAAATCCATAAGCCCAATTGTGAGCATAATTGCATATACAGAATATGTATTGTGATAACTAATATCTTGGGTCACCTGGTTTTCATGTCTCCAGACCAGTTCAAGTTCTCCATTTGATTGACAGTGGAGCTTCAGATCATCTGTGGCTCTGCGCCAGCACAGGCTTCCACACAAGGTCCTCTCACCAGGGTTTTTGCATAAACACAGGCCCAGCTCACTGTCAAAGCCTCCAAAGTCTACTGCTGATGGACAAACCTGCACAATATGGCATGTCAAGTCCTTTTTTACTGAATATTTAGCCAATAATAATATAAACTTAATATTATTAATAATATTAATATTAAGTCTTTAAACATTTACTCACTAATAACTAAAGTTTTGTTTGTTTGTTTTTTAGATTTATTGTTGACATTGACTAATTTTATTTTTAAATTACAGAAAAATGTCACCCCCATACAGTAACTAATACACATAAACATTTACTTGGAGATGACCAAAGGAGGAAGAGATTTGGGGTTAAATATTAAAAGGGTGACAGCCAATACATGCCTGTACTTGATAAATTATTGTCAAGTTCATGGAGGAAAGGGCAAAGACATCTAGGTTGTGCTCATTACTCTTGCATGTCATCGCAGAGTGTTTACTGTGAGTACACAGCTCTTACTTTTTCACAGAAACATCAAGCCCATTCAAAAAGATTTCAAGTTGTGTCAAGTACAGTATTGAAATACATAGTATAAAAGGCAAGTTCAAGGAGATTATTCAGACTTCACTAATGATTTCAGGGTTAAGGACAAGACTATATCAATTAACCTTTCACATGGTTTGAATTGGTCACATGTCATTGCCTCATGTCTCACCTGGTACTTACAGTGGACAGACCACTGATATGTGTCCAGACATTCTCCATACTGTGTACGTGTCTTCCCATCGCGACACACATCGTACAGTTTCAGAACACACACTTTGTCGTTGGAGGGGTGGTAGCCCAGAGAGCAGTGGCACTGAGCATCACTGGCCTGTTTAAAAAGTAAAGACTTCATACGCTGTGTAATGATATGATACAAACCAAAATTATACAATAATAATAGATCATAATACAGAAAATTTGGTCCACAAAAGTAGCACCTCAGTTGTATGTGCTGCTAAAATCTAAAATTAAATAAAAAACAATAGACAACTGAATAGACAGGAAATTGGACTCTGGTGTGCAGTAACTTGATCCTCAGCTCTTTCAGCTTGCAGCTACAGATTGTTTCGGGTTGGATTTCTGAAAGGGCTATGAGAAAGCTCTCATGACTGCAAACACATAAACTCAAACCTCCTTACACTTAAAAAAACACAGAGCGTATATTCATATTTGGGGTTTATGGAACAAAGAGGAGCCCATGACAAATGTAGGTAAGTGGGCCTGAAACTAAACCTGCACAGTCACAGACTTATGGGATATTTCAGTACATTAACACTCATAGACAGGGGCAAGTGGAAGCACCTGGAAGTTTTGGCCTTCCCCTGGGCACACACAGGTGTCCTGGCCAGAAAGAGGCTGCTGCGCAACTGGACCACAGGGCAGAGGCAGAGTCATGGCCGCCCTAGGGCAGTAGTGGTGGGGTGGGCATGCCAAACACGTATTTGTGAATACAACACCGGAGTTAGGCCCATAGGTTCCCACTGGACACGGAATGGCAATGGGAGCCTCCGGTGGACAGTAGAAGCCTGAAATTAACAATTTGGTTAGGTTTCATAATGACTTAATCATCATGGACTGAGGAAAGACAGACAATCAAATTAAAGAAAATATACACAAACCACAACAATGAAACAGAAACATAGTGTAAAAAAAGGCTGTGACTGTGGAAATAGTGTGAGTGAATTTGTGTGATATGTAATATCATGCCCCTGCCAAGGCCATGACTGAAGCACATGAGACCAGTTCCCACTTTGGGAACCACTGGTGTGACCTATATTTTGAGTCATGAATAATTATTAATAATATTAATTATTATTAGCTCTTCTAGTCTATATAAAACTCAAAACAAAGTGAGTAACTTGTTGCCTACCTGCTTGGCAGACTGGTCTCTCCTGGGACTCTTCACTTCTGTTATTTTCTTGACTAAGAGTGAAGCAAGCTAAAGCCACTAGCCATATCAAAGAATTCACCATTGTTGGCGGTGTGTCATCTGCAGCAAAACAAGTGCTAAATGCTAAGCTAAAGCTTTAATGTGTCTGACTTCTTAGAATAGTTGTGAAGACATATCTCATTATCGAGACGAAGCATGAGCACAGCGGACTTGTAGCCGGGCTGATTCACTTTCACCGCTGAATAATTGATCAGGACCATGAGTTAGGTGACAGCGATAGTTAAGTTGATAATATAACCTAGCCTAAGACAGATATAATGTCAGATTTGGCTCTGATCGGGCATCATCATATGCAGAGCAGCTTTATTGGCTTACAGTATAGTCCTAAGATAATACTCGGGTCAGGTTTATGATGACAGTCAGTATTGACAGTGTTATCTAACAAAATGGTTTACCTTTGCTCTAAATTTAAACAGAGACAACATCAAGGAGATTATCATTATTATTAGCTGTTATTCTATTTTTTGTTATTAGGGTATGATTATTTTCACAGGAATATTGTAGTTGCACTGCACTATTTCATTGCTCAGTCACGTTTCGTGTAGCGAAACACTATTGGCTTCACGATTGTTGTTACTCCAATTAAGACCCCTATGACCTACATATCAAGTAACCCTGGACTATGATCCTGTAGTGACGATATACTTATCTAACCTAAAACTATTCAACTTTCACCTACTTTGCCACGTGATTTACTCAAAGTCTATGCATTTTCAATATATAGATGAATAGACTTATATTTATAAAACAGAAATATTAATTATATAACGTGAAAGCCAAAATCCGCATAGCTCAGTGAATTATACTTCATACTTCATAGTGTCCCAAACATGGCCAAGATAAGTGAAAATAGGTAAGGCTGACTGCTCATAAATATTCATAAACTGAAAAATGTCTTTCAACTCAGTTTCACAATTAAATTTGTACTCCAATGATTCGAAACATGCAAAGCAACATAGAAGAACGTTTACACAACTAAAGAAAATATATTACAATCAACAACAGCAAAACAAACTGAGTTATGTCCAGTGAGCCAATATTAAATTAACTTGCTAAGTCTAAATGCAGTATAAACAGGTTAATTACCATTTAAAATACAAACAGTATTAGCCAAAACATTTTTTTTTCCTCAAAACAGTTTCAAATAATATTTCAAATCAAGCCAGTTGGATTAAGCATGGATGTACCCTGTTTATATAAGCCAGGTTTAGGTGAAGTTGTACATTATGATTATAGGGCTAAGGTTACATCATAATGAATGTAAGTCAATGTTGTGCTTGCATGTGTTGTGTTTTGTCATCAGTGACCCTCCACGTGTTGCCTGTTGACATAAGCAGAGTTTGGGATGCGGCCCTGATAACATGCAGCTTTATAAGGACTGAGAGGGGACAAAGTGCTGAGAGAGGAGAAGAGCTTCTTCAGACACCAGACAACGTTTCTTTGAGGAACCAATCACAAATCTATCAGCAGATTGAGAAGACTTAATTCATTCATTTGATTCAATCACAACTTGGCACTTCATTCAGAAAGAACATGCTTATTAAAGTTATGCTATTTGTGTCATTCTTGACTGTCTCAGGTAGATACAGTGTTTAATTTTGCAGCTATCATTTCAAATTTCTTTCTTTCTAAAAGTTTTGTTTTAATTTTTTTTTTATTTTTTAGCCAATCCACTCCATCGTAACACCAGAGAAGCTCCCTGGGCAGACTCAAGAATAAACCAGGCCCATGATAAAACTGAAGTATCCAAGAGCATGGAGTAAGTGCACACTTTTCAAATGAATAGAATACAAGCTCTTTCATCCATTTATAATACAAAGGTGATTTTGTTTTTCAGTTCAAGTTACAAAAGCCACATAGATAGCAACAATTTGTACAGCCAGGAGGAGGAGGGCAAACACCCTGTGGCAGCAGAAGTTCAGCACAAACTGAGTCTGGAGTCAGAGCGTTTGAGAGTGCGTCTTCACCAGGAGCTGGCAGAGCTCAGAGAAAAGCTGTCTCCATCAACCCACGTCAGCTCAACTCTTAGCGGCCTCAGAGAGCGACTGGCCCCTCTCATGCTGCAGCTCCAGAGCTCCCTCAGCTCCAGCACCCAGGAGCTGTGTATCCAGGTGCGTGTGCACCTGCAGAGCATGGAGACTGCAGAAACTCCAGCTGATGATGGACAGAAGATCTTACAGAGGATAAGTCAGACTCTGGACCAAAGCAGCTCCAAGATGGCTGACATTGTTCGGGACTTTTATAGTGAAGCCAGCAAGGTTGTGGGACAGTTCAAAGATTCATTTGCATCTGAAGGAGAGATTGCCCATTCAGAGATGTGGCAGAAGTTTAGCTCCAGACTATCGCAAGAAGTGGGCACGCTGCGGGTAGAGGCACAGAGCAGAGCTGTTATGGTTCTGGAAGAGTTAACTTCTCTTCAAACAGCCTCCCAGGGCTTTGAAGCCAACATGAGTGCAAAGATGGAGGGCTTCTGTCTTAATGCAGATCTTCAGGTCCAGCTGTTTGCAGCTCAAATGGAGAGACTTTTTGTAGATCTGGAGGAGGAGCTGTTAGCTCACACAGACTCTAGCCAGAGTACGTCCTCTTCCTCACTACACAGCGGCTCTCTGCAGGAGGACTTCTCTCTCAAACTGTCTTCTCTCATTCAGGACATTTTGCATTCTGTACAGTGAGCCCCACTAATGTTATGTGTCATGTAATATAATGTAACATTTCAAATGTATGTTTACTATATGCACTATATATATATATATATATATATATATATATATATATATATATATATATATATATATATATATATATATATATATATATATATATATATATATATATATATATATATATATATATACCCACATGTTTTTTGTTGTACTGTATTTTTAGTGTTTATCTATAAATAAGTGGATTTATTAATGAGCACTTTTAGTTTGTTAGACATTAGGTTTACTGCAAAGATGTATATTATATCCAACCTTTCCTCACATCATTTTGTAAAGCTCAAATTCTCTAAATAACATGCAATCCTGTTTTCAGACAGCATGAGGAAACAAGAGAGATACAGATATGAACTGTTAGAATGAACTTAGTGGTGAACTTAAAATGGTGATAAATACAACACACACCAAGTCATTTCAAGGATTATACATTTTTATAAATGTATACAATATTTTTACATTTAATTCAAATTCCGAACAGATTGCTCCAAACTTATCTTAAACTTATTTACTATTTTCTATGTAGTGATACAAATTAACAACTGAAGAAATCACTGCATTACTTTTTTATGTCAATCAGAAGGGCCCCAGTAAAATTTTTTGACAGCAAACCACCCGGAGAGAACCAGAAGCATGGCCACAACAGAGCCCAACACCACGCCCACTATAAGTCCAGTCTCATTCAGGCCGTTGCGGGCTGCAGTGCCTGCACAAAAACAGAAATTGTTATAGGGATGGATAACCTAATACACACACTATGTTGTAACATTTTTGTAAAATAAAAAAGTGCAACTTACTGTAGGTTTGTGCATGTGGTTCTGTAATTATAAATGTAAAAATATACGTTTACTTAGTTATTTAATTATTAGCTTTTAATTTTAAGTCCATCATTTAGTTTCTTACCCTCTGCGGCTGTGTACAGTGGTCCAGCAGAAACAGTAGCTGAATCTTTATCCTCTTGTCCAAAGGGAGTCACTGATCTTTTTCTTTTACTATTGCAACCCTGAAATAATACAAAATATATATTTCAATGCACTTGAATAATATATATTATTATAAATATTATTTTTTTGTTCTCAATACCTACAGCAAGGATCTCCTGACACTTGTTTGGTTCACACAATCTAAGAATACAATGCAGGTAGATGCTAGACATTGACTGTGCACGGTGTTGAAGAAAACGGAAGGCCTCAAAGTTAAAGCGGGCAACTTTGGAAATGCCATTGCTGATAATAGTTGTCCTGTCGTCCTTTGAGCAGCTACAGAAATGTATAAATACTCACACGTGCAATAAAAACACGTTACATTATGATATTCTGCAATATACCCAATGAAGAAGTTGTGCTGTTCAGTGTGTGTCACATTGTATGCTGTTGGTGTGGAGAAGCAGTGATCTAGAAGAACATAAAAACTGAAAGGAAGGAGGAAGAAGTTATTTTATTTATGATTTTTTTTTTTTTTTTTTCTCCATAGATTTTTACTTACTTCCCAGTCAGATTTACTGCTTTGACTTCGGCATAGACCCCAGCTCGCAACTGCAGGCCTGTAGGTGGCACTATTAAGGGATATTTGTAGGAAGAGTCCTGTGAAAATATATAAAAGTGAAGCAGATATGCAGTAATCAAACCCCTTGGCCATAGCGCTGCTAAAATAAATAGAAAGCATTATACAGAATTATACTTACATTATATACACTCATCTTTAGTGTGTTAATAAAAGTCCCATTGTTGTCATTAGTGGCCACAGAGACAGATGAACTAGCATATAGTAACAGATTACACAACGAGAAATGAAAATTATTTTAATTGTGGTCAACAAACTTACGCTATAATCTGTGTGTTGTTGAGGAGGTATTCAAGGGGGTAGCGGCAGGAGAAGTGGTAGTACAGGTCTGTAGAGTAGCTGATTATGCCTTGGTCTGACCGAGGGGTTTCTATGAAGCTGGTGATAATGACAGACTGTACACTGGCAAAGGAGCTGAAGGGTCCTGTGGGGTCTGGGGCTTCATCCACAATCTGAAATAACATGGTACATTTTTTTTTTAACAAATACTGCTTACAAATACTATTATTAGTTTTAATGATTAGTAATTAATATTGAAAAAGTGTACAAATACACTTGGCAAATGGTTTATACATTTTTTTTCTCCGATAGCTCAATTTTAGATTAGCAGCAGCACAGTATTAGTGGGAAGATAATGAACAGTAATATAGACCTTTGTGATAATAGTCATAAAAACGCTGATAACAAGACTTATAATAGTCATAGTAACAGTAATAATAGTAAAAGTTATTGTAATAGAGAAGTAGTTATAGTACTGCACAATAATAGTGCTATTTTGTTATATGCATATCTGTTATATTAAGGTGTAAGAGATGTTTTTATAATCGATTTTCTTTTACTTAGCTGACCAGCCAAAACCACATGCTTTGACAAAACTGAGAAGAATGTATAGGGACTGGCTGATCAGGCAAGTGAATTATTATCTATAATTAATATAGTTATTATCTTTTTTTTCTACATTTGTTTAAAAGAAATAAAGTACAAGTGGTATCACCTGGAGGGACTGGCGGCAGGGGTTTTCCTGGCTGTGATTGACGGGCAGATAGTAACGCACCACTGGAGGGATGACACTGGTATCAGCCCTGCCCAGACATTCCTGCTTATTGTGGTTTCCATTCAGGGCCAGGTCTGTGGTATTGAAACCTGCCCACTGCGCTGTGCACAGGTTAATCTCCAGGGTGATGACTGTGGCACCGCAGTCTACTGTCAGGTCTGAGTTATCTAAGAAAGAAAAGAGATGTGGTATTAAATACACAAAATAAAATGCAATTTATGCAAATTTTCAGACATCCACAGAATGTCAAAACATTGCTTCCAAAGTGAAGTAAGTCCAATTGGTTTAGTTTAACTTGTTGATAATACAAAATAGTGTAACTGTAATATACCGTACATTACCCCAAATACTTAAATAGATTTTTTTTTTTTTATTAAACAATCTAACTTCTAACAAACAAATTCTGACACTAAGCCATTTCACACTAACTATTAGGATATATTTTAAATTTACACAGGACATGTTAAGATGGAACTATGATTGGTAACATACCTGGGGTCCGGTTATATTCAGGAGGACAGTTGTAGACACCAAAAGCAGGCTGCATGAAAACAGCCAGCAGAGGGAGCCATGCAAACATGCTGCAATTTGATCAATGGATGAATGAAGCCTGTGATAAGGAGAACAGAATAAAATAACACATATGTTATTATTGGATAAAATTCAATATATGAACCTATTCATAGCCACCCATACAGAGCAAATTAGTCTTACCTTGCTTGTGTCTTCATGGGTATGTGACGCTATTCATCCAGAGGGGCTTTTATAATATTACAGACACTTAAAACCAGAGAGGTGTGACCAAGAAGCGCTCCCATCGACCAGCCAAATACAGACCAACTATACAAATATATGAACATCCACACTACAGATAAAAATTCATATTTTTAGTTATTCTAACAGCAACTTAGCATCTAAATTCAAATGTGATATATTAAATTTATTATAACTGTGAACAGATCTACCATAATCACACAGGTAAGTCATTTGTCTTTCAATAGTCTGTTTTCCTTAGTGAGAATGTACTCATTTGTGTAATAAATTAATTAAGAACATGTTTTACATCATGTGCTCTCAGACAACCCTCACAAATAACACAGTAGTCCATCACTACCAGTCTGTTTTTAGAAACTATATACTTTTATAAACTATATATTTTGTTTTTGTTTCTGAATATGTGGATAAATTATTTACATAAACACTATTAAAAATTACAAAGGACTTTTAAAATATTTTAAACAGACTCAATGTTTGAATGGGACTGAAGTCTTGAGAATAAAAAGCCTTCAATGGTGGAAACTTGATCAGGTTTGCCACCAGCGATGGAGGACACAGCCAATCATGAGTAACCTTTGTTCATTTTACCTTGCATGACAAACCTGGGCTCTATTGTCTGCACAGTGCTGTAGTGCATGTATTCTACAGTGTGTAGCTATGGGCCATGACTGCTGCTGTTTACCAAAGGAAGCCTTTGTCCCACAGAAATGCAGAATGAGAAGAATAGACTGTTTGCCCATCATGAGAGCCAACTTATTACATTATCTACACTATGTCACACCAATCACCCATCTCATTTTAAAAGGTAGGTATAATGGTGGTTAAGATCTGATATAATTACAGTGTAATGGTAAGTAAATCTGTTTAGTGCATTTCATTATTGTGAATATGCTTTAGGACCAAATTACCCTCATAGCACCATTGTTCCATTCACATTTTGGAAACTTTTGAGCACTTGATGTTTGGTGTCATCTGCTGGCCAAAAATAAACCCAACTCAGTGAGGAGGACTTGTGAGTCAGCAACAGCTGTGTAAGTGAAAATCACAACATACAAAATACAGTTATTAGCTTCATAAATCGAAAAGATCAAAACACGATAACAACAACAACAAGCCTCTCACATGGTGGTGATGGTGGAAAAAGAAGCAGATAAAATACCTTAAAGCCATGGAGAAGACAGCAGGGCTACACAGTAAAGCACATGATAAGTCTCCTGTCCATGACTGTGAAAAGGCCCTACAAAGGAAACATGTGAGGTGTCAAAAATAATGATTAAGTAAATAAGATAAGATAAGGGTTCATGTTTGTGGAACTATTTAGGCATGTCTTACTAAGTTTTACATTTTGTGTTTTAATTGTTAATTAATTAAAGATTTTCTTCTTTGTCTGGCAAAGAAACTCATAAAAGGCAATGAAGAGGAAGTACAATCCAGAGCCTTTTCTCCTCTCTCCACACTTCCTGTCCCAAGAACAGTCCCCTCTCCTTTTCCCCTCAGTCAGTTGCCCTCTCTTTCTGGCTGCTTGGACAAATCTATTTGTGTGTGTGTGTTTTTTTTTTTTTTTTTTTTTTTTTTTAAATGAGTCGTTTCAAAAAAGTAAATACACGAGCCACACATTCTTATTTTAATACATCAAGCATGATATGTGTTTTGGCACAAAAAGTCCTTTTGTGTCGATATATCGCCTAATTACATTACGTTTAATGTCATTTGGATAATAAGGTTTAAGTTGCACTGACATAACACAAAATCCCGTTTAGAGGCTTAAATTGAAAAATAAAAGAAGCCAATTACCTTCCTTATTTCAAATTGGAAATAATCTTGTTTTTCACTGTGTTGCCTACCCAGACGCCATATGCACGCCATCAGCAGTCGACTCACTTCGCTCCCTCCGTCATTCCTCCGTGTTTACTCTTTATCCGAAGAAGCTTTTACCGTACTTTGGTTATTTAGAGCGCACAAGATGTTTTACCCGGTTGATTTTGCCTTCCACAAGCCGTGAACATGTTGAAATGGATTTTATTAGACTCTTGGGCGCCGTTATTGCCGTTTTCTTCCATCCTGGATCTTTCTCCAAAATTAATGGTAAGATCCTTACGTAGAACAAAAATTCTACTCAAATTTTCAACAGCACTCATTGACTCGATTAGGTGAGCGAAAAATCTTGGAAAAATGCAAAGTTTTAATTTGTGCGTAAAAGTGTGCGTAAACATTAACGGTTTACTAGGTTGCAGGATACAATGTTAAAACTTTACCAAAAGAGGAAATGTTAAACTTCAGTTTAAAATATGTATTGAACACCTTTAAACAAATGGCTCTGTCTAAACTTGGTAAAGTTGTGCACAAACCACTAAGCGCTTGCCAATAAAACACTATTACGCAACGTACCCAAAGCTTGGAAAATAATGACATATCCAAGTAGGCTGTTTTATTTGTGTTACTGCCACACAACCAGAACATGGCAGTAATGCTGTTATTAAATTGGCACAACCGACTTATTGCATCACTTATGATAACAAATCACAGTAACATAATTGCTCTGAATGTCCATGTGAGTCATTTTACTTGTATCCATGTCCAGCCCAGAGGATCTGCCGGCGTGGGACTGAACGCCCCTGCTACAGGGTGTCCTACATCCAGGACTTCAGGAAGAGGTTGACCTTTGCAGATGCCAGTCGCGCCTGCCAGTCTGATGGAGGGGAGCTGCTGAGCATTGAGACAGAGAGCGAGCAGCGGCTCATAGAGCGGTTTATCACAGAGCTGCAGTTGGGAGATGGAGACTTTTGGATTGGAATGAAACGAAACCCGCAGCGTCTCAGGGCAGAAACCAGCAGCCCAGTTTGCCCCTCTCAGTACTACTGGCTTGATGGCAGCAGAGCCAAGTTCAGGTTCTCTGTGATTTTGGAAATATAACAATATAATACATTATTAGCAATGCACATGCAGTTAAACTTGTTAACCCCTTTCTAAAGGAACTGGCATTGGGATGAGCCATCATGTGGCACAGAAATGTGTGTGGTTCTGTACCACCAGCCCTCTGCCCCTCCTGATGAGGAGGGACATTTCCTGTTTCAGTGGAATGACGACAACTGTAACTCCAAGAACAACTATGTCTGCAAATACACAGAAAGTGAGCAGGATGCACAGTATTATTTGTTTGTCTAATTATTGGCCAATTGTAAAAATATTTTTCTTTTTGCAGAAAGAACCCCAGCAATTACTGAACGAAATGCAGCACATGTGGGTATGTTAAAACAAAACAAAACAAAACCTAAAAATGACAGCGTATGTATGTGCTCTTGGTGGTCTTCAGTGCTAACATTATAGCCTGTTTTAAAAATTATACATTAAAATGTTGTTAAGATAACATTTTAAATTATGTATTTTTATGAATTCCCTCAGTGCCAACCTCAAGGTCAAAGACTGTACCAACAACATATTCTGGGGATGAATTGAAAACTGGATTACCCAAGTCGTCAGGTTAGTTATTAGCTGTTATTTCTTGCAGTGGTAGAAATACAAAATTGTTTTTTGTTTGTAGTCTCTCTTTCAGACAACATCTCATACATCCTCTACGCTACTATTCCTGTCCTGCTGCTGCTGCTGGTCGGCACGGTTGGCTTTTTCTGCTACAAGCATCATGTCAACAGGTAAACCTAACAGTAGGCATAATGTGTTTTACGTATTTTGGTAATGTATGTAAAGAAGCTAATATGTTATTTTACTTTACATATTCTCCTTAAGACAAAAGACGCAACTTGAAAGCTATCCAGGTGGACACCAACAGTGGATGTCTGTGGCAGGTTCACCTTGCCCAGTACAAGGACCATACGCTCTGAGTGACGTTACTAAACTCCCCCCCACTGTTTTGGACTGTAGCCTGACATCAAGACCCTCCTGCACTTCGCCCTTCAACTTTCAGTGTGGTGACTATGAAGACGTGCCATGTGCAGACAGAGGCACTGGCTTTGTGAATAATGACATATACGAAACATCTCAAGCCCCAAGTTACCGCTGTCGCAATCAGACTGGATGGGTGGAAAATGAAATATATGGTTGACTTGAAATCACATTAAAGAATTATGACTCATTTACAACACGCCCTGATCTGTATGGATTTCCACTAGCGATGTAACAATAACTGAAATATTACGATATTGCATCGTCAAAAGCCTCTCAATAACATCACAATATATCGAATCAATCAAGTCTCTTTACTTAAATTCACTGTTATGGTGCAGCAATAGCTAAAAGGAACAACATACAGTATGCAATAATTCTTTGCTCTGTTTCAGTCTAATTTACATGATAAATAACTGTTATAAGCTCTTTTAAATCTGAACTCATAGGTGTATGACAGAACCAAAGGACTGTCAAGGCATTTTTGAAGGAAAAAGTAGTATATTCCCAACTTTGTTGGCTTCTAGAAAATATTATAAATAAATATCATACATTGAGATGTATATCGTTACTTCCCTAATTTCCACATTCAGTTATTTGTGTCCAGGTTAATAATAATAGTCCAGAGCATATGTAACCTCACGAAAGGTTTCCAATATTTAGTCCAAACATTCAAATTAGGCAATTTGTCATACATGAGAAATATCACAAAAGAATATTCTGTAGATTGAAAACCATTTATCTCTAATACCAAGAAATCAGGCATCGCCATTGCCTTACTGTTATTATGCCCCTGTTTTCATGTTGCATCATCAGATGCAGAGAGATCTTGTTGCCTATGTACGTTGCTCCAGAGATCATATATGCAACAATGTGTGGCATTGTTTGGGTCGTTTTGAAAAATCCTGTCAGCCGTCTGTTGAACTTCCTGTTTGGATTCAGGGAACAGCTATTCAAAATCAGGAACAGTGCAACCACATGATAGAAACATAATTCCAGACCTAACGTGAAATCTTGTTCAGGGGCCTTTGGAATTATAAGTAGCCTACACAGCTTTCATAGAGTGTAAAACCTAAATGAAGTTATAGTGGACAACTGGAAACTGGACTGGAGTGTAAGTGTCATGAAAGGTGCCGGGGACGGAGAAGTGAGTGTGTTCTTGGAGATTTTTCAGGACAGGAAATGCCTAAAGCACATCTGGAACCCTTATATTCAGGAAATCTGTGCATGACAGACGAGGCCTTTGGAACACAGCAGACTGCAGTTGCTAATGATTCAGAATATGTGGTACTGTCATTGCACTACGAGTGGAAAGACAAAGACCAGTAAACAGTGCAGTTGGCCCACAGCTGAAGGCATCTTTAAATTAACTAGTTAATTAAATTAACAACTTAATTTAAATATATTTTCAACACAAAAACAAGTAGGCTTATTAAGTTGTATTGGCTATATTAAATTAGATAAGTGATTGTTGACAGTGATCGGCATAATATTCATAGTAATCTAAATATTAGGCTACTACCAGCCTTGAGGTGTGAGGAAGAGCCCCGTCGACTAAATAATTTTACCAACAGATGGCGCTGCTGTGTTACTCAAAGTGGTTTCGCTCATCACTTATTGTAAGAGTCAGAGTTTATTTGATCTTTATAGACAGTCAAGACAGGTTATGATGGTAATTTAATTCGCTTAATTCACTGGCAGCAAGTCAGTTGTTTATGTTAATGTATGCATTTATATAAATCCCGAGAAGTGAAACAATATGCTACACTGTTTATAAAAATCTGAATTCGGCTATTATGATCAGTCGATCTGTTTTCAGCGGTTAAAAAAAAAAAAAAAAAAAAAGGAGACACGGGCTATAGGTTTATTCAAAATGCATTGTGAAGCAATAGATTATTTTAATCGCGTTTCCTTACCCTTGTCGCCAGTTTGGTTACCTATGCTTATGCATGCAATCAAGAAGGCAAGGCAAACAGACTTCAGAATAGCAATTTTACCGGTTGACGTAAGAGGTGGGTCTGGTTGTCTGGGCAACCAATTGGCACTGAAGTGTGGAGCGGCCCGGTGGCCCCGCCTCCTGTACAAATACCCCTATGGCTTTGACGTCAATGCACGTCAACCCGAGAACATGATGCCTCTGTGCAAGTCAACTCGTGTGCTCTGGAGCTGATAGAGGCACCTCAGCCTGAAATATCATAGCTCTATTGTATCAGAGATCGTATTGTATCAGCTCTCAAGTTCAGCAAATGGGCTGCTTCGTATCATCGAACTGACCGAAAGTGTCGCCACTTTGGCATTTAGGCTGACAGGGCGACAGGAATCAACTTTGTTTTAATGGACACGCATCGAGCGGCAGAAGCAGCAGCAGTGGCGGCGGCAGCGGGCGTTTTGTTTTCATTTCGTCTGGAAGTATAGCTGCTCGCCAGCTTGAGCCCCTCGTGTGTGTCCCTTCTCGTCTGGCTACCTCACTCTTTTCACTCGCAGCCCCATTTAGAACAGCATGGTCATGGCTGACAGTGCTCAAAAGCCGCTGATACGAGGTCCGGTCCGGGTGGGCTTCTACGACATCGAGCGCACTTTAGGAAAGGGCAATTTTGCAGTCGTTAAGCTGGCCCGACACCGCATTACCAAGACAGAGGTGAGTGACTATAGGTTGTCTGTGAAGTCGTTAGCCTGGAAGCTAACATATGCTACTCTACAATACAGTTATATAACTTTATGCAGATACACTTGTATCCATATATTGGCTACACGTATTTCATGATATAAATAATAACTAAGAGGTAACTTGCTGGGAACTCCTGCTGTGCACGCAACAGCTGTGTGAATCCAGCAGGTAGGAGACTGGACAGTGGACAGTGCACGTTTCTCCGAGTCAACATTGCACTGCCAGGAAGGGCTCTGCTCTGGCCAGCTGGGTGCTGGGAACTGTGAACGTGCATGCAGCCTGCACATGTGCACTCCGATCAGACTGCACAAAACGCCCCTGTTGCAGACGCTGTCTGGCTCGTGCATCAGAGGTCGTTGGTGTTTTTATGCAATGCTTAAATTTAGTGTCCTCATTTTGTCTTATGTTAGTGGGTAAAGTAACAGTAAACTGTCCTCCACATTCCTCTCTACTAAATTGTATACAAGGTGTTTGTTCATAAACAGTGAAGCATCGTTCAGCCTGAGCACTGCACCTTCACAGAGGTAACTCACATCTTCACAGACATTTGTGCAGGACAACCTGAAGACCAGTGTCACTGAAGGCCACAGCACTTCTTTGAAATACCACTGACACAAGGCTGCTATGAATGTCTACTTACTGTAGTTCCATATGAGTGTGTGTGCAGTGCTCAAGAGTAATAGAAAATACAGGGCTTATGAAAACATTGTTTCACAGTTTGATCTTTGCTCTCCAGAACTGTTGTTTGTGGATGAATATGAGCACTCCTACAGTACAGAAAAACAAGAATTTATCTAGTCCACAATAGACCTTTGATAGGTTTAATGAATAACACATTGGCATTGGCACAAGGATGTTAGCAGTGTCTGGTTACAAGCAATGGTCTGTTCAGGTAATCTACAACTTCATTACTTGACCAGCTACACAAATACTGGCTTTACATTAGCCCTACACTGGTTTACAGCTCTACCTCAGCCTCTGTGGTATTTAAATGAAATGGAGTGCTGCTGAATTGTAGACAATTAGTTAATTATGTCTTATTGACGTTATAATATAATGACTGTCTAAAGTTCACTGGTTCTGTCCAGAGGTCAGCTGTGGAGTTATGATGCACCTGCCTAAAGCTGCTGTTTTTGTGAAGCCATCAGAGTTTAATGACACAAGAAACTGTAGATTTCATGTGTGCACAGTAAACACACAACCTAGTTTTTCCCCAGCGCCACAATCCACCTCACTGCACAGATACTTCACACTTTGGTCCAGTCTGCTCCTTTGGTACTCCATGAGGTGCTCTCCAAGACCACGCCCTTTTTATCTGTTAATTTATTACCCATAAACCATTGTCCTTGCTTGACCTTGTCACAGCAGACTTAATACCATCTCAACATTTTTTTATTCTGTATACTGTAAGTTTTGATGCCTACTTCTTATTGTTAAATTCGGCATTTTGCAATTTTGACAACTAAAAGACAATTCATAATGTTGCACAAGGGGCTCAGAATAGGCTCTAAATGCTGCAGCCCTTTAAAAAAATATAAACTAAATTGTTACTATATAAATTAATTAAGTCAGTTTTATAGAATCAATAAATCCCAAGTAATCATGGAGCACATTGGAATTACAAACCAGACTAGATTAGTAAATGTATGTATTTATAATCCTGAATTTATTACATTACCACTAAATAATACAAAAGTAGTATTTTAAACTTCAGCTTTGCTCATTCTGACATGTCTTAGTTGGTTGTATTACAGATCACAAATAATTATGTCCTGTGTGTCTGTTGGTGCTGGCTGCATCGTGGTGGTGAGATTGCGTAGAGGAAGACTTGGGCTCTGTTGTAATTGATGCAGCCTGGCTCACTTAAAGCTGAACACTGAGATTGCACTGCTCAAATGTTGTTTATGAGACAAGCCAGAGGAGGGGAGTTAATAGCACCCTGTTATTGACTGGACATTGTTAATCTAAGTAAATCCACTGTGCATTTAAAACACTTGTCATATTCAGTGTTGTTGTTCTACTATACTTAAACCTAAATTATATTTATCTTATTTCAGTGGCCTTTATTATCATACAACACAGTATTGTTTTTTGACATGTTTCATCATTTGTGGCTGAAGGAATGGGACAAGATATTGTTTCAAAAGCTCTTGCAAGATCCAATGATAAAATGAGCTCCCATGATTTTCCCTTTTTCAGCAAATTTCACACACTTTACTATATTTTGTAAAATTGCTGAGAGCTGTGAGAATGAGATGCAAGCGCCGCTCCCGAAGTCATCAAAAGTCATCTTTAAGAGCCCCACCAGTCAAGGATGAATAACAGTTGTTGCTACTCTCTCACTTCATAGGTGGCCATTAAGATCATTGACAAGACGCAGTTGGATGCTGTGAACCTGGAGAAGATCTACAGAGAGGTGCAGATCATGAAGATGCTGGACCATCCACACATTATTAAGCTGTACCAGGTAAACCCACACCCAGCCTGGGTGACACAGGGTGCTGGGACTCCATAGGACCTTGTTTTAGCTGAGCCATTCTGTGTTAATGTGCATCCATTGCGTTCAGGGTGTTGAAGCGTAGCACAGGACCAGCTCATTTTCTAATGCTTTAGCAAACAACTGCTGCCCCACAGACAGGGGGCTTTAAGATATCAGTACAGGTTAATAGCTAATCTACGCCTGCAACTCACAGAATTATTATTATTTATTTGATTTTGGAGACAATGTAACGTTCAACTGTTAAACCTCTCCTAAAAGACACAATCCACTTTGGATGTGAATTTTAAGCTTTTTTCTATTTTTCTTTTTTTTGTTTAGTTTTTTTTTTGAGTCACAAATATGTGCTCTTTCAAACAGCATTTCACTCTCATTACATAAGTCTTTGAGCCTG